AACGCAAATTGTAAAGGAAGCACTTGTACCTTACAATGTACATAAGTAGGAAATTATCGTGACTTCGTTAGTCCGTGGAAGACTCTGTAATTAAAATATTGTTGTAGCAAACTTTTAGCAATTATACCCTTACGCCCTAAGCATAAGGTTTTATTTTCTTCATTTTTACCCCATGAGGTAAAGATAGAACACACCCCTGTTGTGTCATTACCTAATTTTTATTTCCATGGGCTTGGCAATTTCACGGCGCCATTTACTTTCCAATTAAACATAGGTCATTCTCGAGAGCTTTGCTTAGAATTAGATAAAAATGGGATAAACAGCAAGTGGTTTTCTTTCGAAATTATGAGACAAGTATATACTGTTACTATCTATATCTATACTATTATAATAAAGCGTAAACACACACTTCCTTGTTGCCTAAGATCTTAGCAATTACAGAATATTTTCGAATAACTCTTTTTTTTAATAAAAAGCCCTATACTTACGTCACGCTTTAGGCTATATATTTTCACGCCGTTAAGCTTAGGGGGATAAAATTTTTGGATAAAACCCTAATGTGGGAAAGAGACCATAAGTTGCTGCCAACATAAAGGAAACAAGATTGCCAAGGTTTATCATGTCATGTCAGTTTGACATTTGCAATTGACAATTTAAAAAATGTAAATAATAAAATAAAATTTTCATAATTAATGCGGATGGAGCCGCACGGGAACAAATAGTATGTAAATAAATGTAAACGTACTATAATATCGAGCTATCTTTTGTTTTTTTTTTAAATCTTACAACACATCAATTTCGATTTTGGGTTTTTGGCCTAGCTCCTCGCAACAACACAACGCGAAACAGCCTGGGCCGGTGTGAAGTAGCACCTAATTAGAATAACAAAATGTAACAAGTATCACAAATGGTAGATCGTATCAGTGGCATGTACACGAACAGATAACGAGCACACTTTGTACATACTTACTTGTACCTACCAGTACTTACTTATAAGATATGGTCGTCAACAGGTCGTGTGTTTTTATTGTATTTCACACATTTACATCTATAAGTGTTTGTTTTTGTAATATGATATTGTAAAAGGACGAACTCCTTACACTTTACCAAAAACTTAGTTATGATAAGTAAAAGCTAAGTGCTCTTAGCTAATTTCGAGCATACACCACCGTTCTGTCGGTGAATCATAAGATTTTATTCAAATACAAGGTAAATGTAAATAAATATTATATTTTTAATATCAATAAAAAAATGTTAAATAGCTTAAACAAAAAAATGACATAAATAAATCACATTTTGTGTCTGCCTTAGTGTTTCCTGCATTTTGTATTTATACGCTAACATAATACATACATACAGACGTATCCCACTGCCTCGTCTACCAGTATACCACACATACTCGTACAAACATATATTTCCATATCTCCAAATGACTGATAAATCAGAGATAAAGTGAACACTTTAACACACATACAAACACTGCAGTAAAGCATACTGCAACGTAGTACATTAGGGAATATGCATGTATTTTTTTCTTTTTTAAACGATTCTACTTATTTTAAGATAACCAGAAAAATTATTGACTCAAAAAATTCAACCATTGAGCTAAAAATATTTAAATAAGATTACGATCATTTTCGTGCGACTAAAACTCGACCTAGGTTGGCTTGAGACACGTCGTTACGTCAATAGTCATATTTGCATGCATTTCATTCATCAATGCGCTCAGATGTCACTTCGACTTCGATGTAAAAAACAACAAAGTATTTCATCGGTCCTCAGAGTTGTCAAAGTCACAAATCGATTAATAAACATTATTCCTGGTACAAATAAGTGGTCATTAATGATTCTTTTCATTAATTTTTATTTTAAAGCTAGTTTTGAAATCGTGTGTACAGTAAAAATACCTCAAGAGTATGAATTTTATATAAATTAACGTAAATGAATTGTGTATTGACAAGACAGCGACGCCATAATAGATAAGTCACTTGCATCGACCAATAGCGTTGCGTTTTTAAACGTAGCGAAGGAATTTTGAAAAAGACACTTTTTATCGATTTAATTATGCTAATAAATCACATTATATTAAAAAATCTCTTCAGGTGCATGTTTATACAGTAATAAAGTATACTTAAAAAAAAGTTTTGTTCAATTTGGCGTCATATGTCTATTGTTATGTATTTTTTGTGACGACACTAGCCGTTTTTAATAAAGATGGAGTTTAGTCTATACCTCGTAAGCGTAACTGAGCGAAGCTTCGTTTTTTGTACTCACATACCTTAATATCTCCGGCTATAAATTGGCTCAAATCGCCAGCGCGGCGCAGTGCTTCCGCTTACTTTCGAAATGTGTCTAGAAATGTGTATTAAGAGTTGGGTGAATAGTAATTTACGAAGTTAGCGCGCACTACTTTCGGTCACATCACCACTTAATATTATGTGGGATCGTGGGCAAAATATCGTTACAAAAATAAGACAATATGGCCGCTTCGCGGTTGGAATGTAATGGTGTAACTTCTTTTTATATGATTATTTTAGGCCATGTTACAATTTAACCGTGCGTTTATTCTCTTGTCCATCAGCGCTGATTATTCGTGATGCGTTCCACCAGGCAGGCCACGTCTCATCGTAGGCAATGGCCACTGGCCACTGGCAGCTCGTGCTAGCCATTTTTCTCGAGAGAATCGTTCAAGTTACGATGATCACTATGATGTCACGCTACGGCCCGGTCAGTTCTACAACCTACACCTAGGTAACCTACTACTACATTGATAACTAATCATTCGATTTTTTTAATTAAAAGAAAAACGTGATTTTAATGATGACTTCTATTTATATTGCACAATATTTCAGTAAATCGCAATGTTAGATGACTGTCAATTATTTAGGTAGGTATTTTTTTTGTTCACGTTGCCATTAATTAAATTTATATTGCACCTCTACTGCTAGTCCGCAGTACTGAAAATATCCAGCCTTCCCCACGATGTACTAAACACGTAGGTTACTCTATTGTCGCTTCGCAACGCTGAAGGAAAACGTAACTAGAGGGACGATATTTTGCACGTCACAGGAGCGACGAAGTTAGTACAGAATGTTGATAAGTTGTGGGAAAATTAAATAAGTCGTGCAGCGTGTTAGCCTGCCAATTAGTTAATGAAATACTGCTCTGGTAAAGATTTAACCAGAACATAATTCATCAGCAGCCGTTGTTTACCTCCACTATTGTTCAAGGGGCGTTTTGTTTTAAAATAGTAGCAACATAAAATACATACAAAAGTATACTTCCTTTCCAGTTCTTTCCTCAATAAAAAAGGGTGGGAAAAGACGAGGGCATGAATTAAAACTCCGCACATAAAAACACAGCACTATAAAACCAAAGGTTGCACATTACTTCTTTATTAAGTTGCTACGTAACATGACATGGCAACTTGGCCTTTTGAAAACGTTAATCAGTAATTACCTACTATTTATGCGGATATGAATTTTTAAGTACATAATATTATTAAGTGGCGGTGGTGGTCGTAACAACAGGATAAAAAAATGTAAAAACGATTTTCAATGAGGATATATCATGCACTTAAAAGTACATTAATAGTAATCAATAATTGTATGAGCAGAGATGACTTATTTGAAGAGCAATCGCCTTGAATATGAGACGTGTCGTGATGCCGGTCGCGGCGCGGGTCACGTTGCGCGGCTGCGGCAACTCGCCATCGCCACCCGCCACACCCGCCACACACGCCACACACGCCACACACGCCACACACGCGCATTACTATATGTACATATTAATTAGTAGACTCAAGGATCTAGGACCGGGGGTCTTAACTATAGCAATGAAATAACTCATTTACGATGCACAACGTTACACCTGTAACACGTACAAGTGTTTTGTTAATGTTCAGGAACATAACTTATTGTTTACATAACCATTTTTATACACAACTAGCTGCTGCTCGTGTCTTCGATTACGTAAAATATAAATAAAAAAGAATGGTTTAAGATACTTCTGTACATATCAGCTATTTCAAACATATCATTATGGCCCATGGTCATCGGCGCGCTGTGCACTGCCCTTCCCCCGCATCCCTTTAAGCCCGCTATACTTAAAATTATGTTCTGCGCAGCAACTCGTATAATGTTTCGAGCCGCCAAGATATCGGTCCAGGCGTTCCGGATTACCCGAAACTAACGCGGCCTTGCGGACATACAGACAGACTATTGAAACATCCATATTTCATATAAAGTTACGCAAATAGCTACGTATCAAGTGTGTACGATACACGTAGCTATATGACAGTGCAATTTTATTAACTGTATAACTGGATAGATTGTACACGTGGAGACCTTTGCTGATAGCGATAACAATAATAAAGCAAATCTACAAGAAAATGAATTGTATTCAATACATTTTAGCGTATTATTGCTTTCGAATATGTTTTGTTTCGAAGCCGCTTTTTTCAGTTTGATAAACTGTTTGTGTTCCCTTGATTATGGATCAGCGTTGAGCGACATGCTGGGGTGACAGAGTGCCGTGCAGTGTTGCACAGAACACAGAAGAACAACAACTATACCAAAGACATTTAAGAATAATATATACCAGGCAGTATCCCATTTTTTTTCACCGGTAACATCTCTGACAGGTAATATATCAGTTGTCAAGTTATGTACGCCACATTTTACAATAATGTTATACTTACGTTATAACATAATAAACATTAACATTTAAACTAAATATTAGTTAATAACACCAATTGACAATAAATTACGCTGACATGAGGTTTCGTTTGGAGTTTGGAGGCTGTTATCAGATAGCGCTAGTGATGATTATGTGAAAAAATCTCAAGTGAAGTGTGAACTATGCTCGCTCTATATATTTTTAATCTCTGACCTATACAGAAGATTTGTATTTAAAAACAGACAAATGTTTAAATTAACTTTAAGACTATGTTCACAACATGGATCGCTGTCATGCGTTATAAGAATATTAATACGCAAAAGTAACGTAACAAAATTACCTTTATTATCGGTTACATAATATAGGTTGGTATAAAACTTGAACAAAACAATACTTAATAAGATAATGACAAGCACTCGTTCGTCCTCAATGCGCAAACGCAATTTATTTACAGACACGCAAGGCGAGGGCAAGAACCGACCGCCCGACGCCGAAGAACCGGTCCGTGGCGCTGTCCGTCCCCACTCATCCGGTGCAAAACAATGACATAGCTGCACCGGCCCTAACACAATGTTAAAGAGTAAAGTTTATCCGAAGAGGTAGGTGTAGAGGAGGGTGAGCACCAGGCCCAGCGCGACAGGAAATTTCCATGAGGAGAGGAAGCCACTCTCAGAGTCCTCGGTCTGCGGCGGCAGGTTCCAGTTTACGTTCTGGCCACTTGTCTGTCGCTTGTCCTGCTCCACCACCTCCCCGATGAAGTACTTTTGCATCAGCTCCTTGGCGTCCAAGCTGTGGCCGGCGTCCTCGAACTGTTCCGACGCGTCCTTGCCGGCCACGTTCACGAGGATTTCGTGCCCGCCCGGATGGTCGTCGACGAACTTGGTCACATCGTACACTTTGTTGGCTATAACGAACACCGTCTCTGCTTTGGTGTCCCTCTCGGCGATCTCCTTCCTGGTGAATTTCTTGGTCTCCATGTCGTGCTGTGTTGCGTTGTGTCGTGTCGCGAGCTTCTTACTCGGCGGCGGCGCGGGGACTGTCACTGCGGTTGGCGCGGCCGCCGGCACTTACTCACGGCCGCTCTGCCCCACCACTCGACCACTTGTTACGCCACCAGATAACACTTCGGTTATCTAAAATCGACGCGTCATTGTTTAATTGATCTACACATATACACATTATTATATCGTTTTACTGTCTGTGTGTCAGGCATTTTATTTCTTTTGTAATTTTTATGTCAGTCATTTTATTTCCAAGCTTGTAAATAAGACGAAAATTATAATAGCAATTTTAGATTAGCTCAATAATGCGGCGCGTCTCAGTTTCTCTGTTGTGTGTATGTATGACATGTATGTACGTCGTGGCTCTCCTTACTGGGGTTTCAGCTCGAGCCCGCTCGATGTCTTATATTACAAGATTGTAATTGCTAACATAAAAAAGAATACGACTAGAAGATAAACATGTCAGTAGTAGCAGCTTAAATGTTTCTAGCATTTTCCAACTTCCTTAAAACTTATTTCGTGCCTTATCATCGTGCGGCGGCATGTATTGCTGTTTATTTTTAATAGCGATTGTTCATGATGACGGCGCCGAAGTAATCCGCTGTGTCCGGTCGCCGGTCGCTGCGCCGCAGCCGGCGGGCCGACGACGCTAACCATGTTGGGACTAACAAAGCGCAACTCAAGGTCAGATGCAATGCAAAGCAATGGATGGCATGGGAAGGGTAAGGGAAAGTATTACCAGGATACTAGGACGTGAAAAGTATAGGTATACCAATTTCTATGTCTATTCCTTCATTATTCTGTACTAGCTTTCGCCTGCGACTCCGTCTGCGTGGAATTAAAAAAAATGGTAAGTAGTAAGAACATATGTTCTTCCAGACTATGTTTTACAACTGTACCAAATTTCATCGAGATCCATTCAGCAGTTTAGGCTACAAACTCTAACAAACATCCACTCATCCATCCAAACATTCGCATTTGTATTATTAGTAAGATAAGGTGTGTGGTGTGTTGTAAAGTGCCTGTGCAAGGTAAGAAACGCGTTTGCTTGCTGTAGATGCCCCTCGCAGGTGTAACTAGGAGTAAGTCTATGTACTCCTAAGTATTAACTACAGCTCACTACATACTTTTGCATTTGCACTTAACTTTAGAGGTGTTTCTTACATACTATACCTACTGTAGTATAATCTATGTAAAATGGTTAATACTGCTGTCTTCATCATGATGTAGCCGCTTCAATGATTAAAAAATTATCAACCTTTACCGGGTGATAAGTTAAACGTATGCGCACCGACCGACACGGGGAGCGGAGCGGCACCGGGCGCGGCGCGGCGCGGCGCGGCAAGCGCGGCGGACACAACTAAATGTACTATCAAATAATGATTCAACATATCAATTGTACATTTAGTTACAACTTGAGAGGATCATATACAGTTGATACTATATGTTAAATGCCTTTGTTGCAGACTATGGTTTTGATTTAGTATGTGATGCGCACATTGAAACAGAAATGAAGTAAAACAATTTTACTACACCAAATCTTAAGAATTTTACAATAGTTAATTACTTTTAAATTCTTGTTTGAAGACTTTTATACCCTTATTTTACATAGGTTTAAGTTTAGTCGAGATGTAAGTAGTAAAAAAAGAAAATAGTGAAAATGGAGGGCTATATCATTCTCAAGTGGCGATTTCTAAGTAGCATGTTATAATTTTATCGAGTCGCGTTTTTTTTGTCAAAACTATAATAATATTTTTTTTTATTTACACGGTGAAACGAGTATAAAAGCGACAGTAAAAGACAGTACGCTACAAAGTTAGATTATTATTATCATGAATCACAACATTTTTATCGCATGTTGTAGGTATCTATATTCTGGAATGTTCGACAGCAGTATCAGCAGAGACTTTTATACGCGGACGGATTATAAGTCTGCGATTTTGGGCCTATTAGGTTTCACCATTTTGGTCTAAACGCGTGCCACAACGGGGGCAGAAGGGGGGGGGGGCGAAGGTCAAACTATTAGGTAATTATAATAGTGTATATAGTATCAGTTTTTGTTAACTCTGCAAAAAAAAAACAATAAACTAACTAACACCCCTGAGTTAAAAGTATGTTTAATTAGCAAGCCCATGTGTTTTCAGACTACAATGAATAGTTCAGAAGAGGTAGTTATGAATTCTCTTGCACATGTAGTGGTGGGGACATTGCTTCCTTGGAGCTATGTGGTATTACTCAAGGTAAAAATAAGTAATCGTATTGTATACATTTAAGGATAGAGGGCGCTGTGTAAAATGTAAGGATGTGGGCCTCCACCATATGATGGGGGTCCGTGTTTGTGGTTTGCATGTCACTTTAATAATGTTGGACCATTGGGGCGGGGAGGGGCGGGGGGATATAAAACAAACTACACTTTTTTGAATAAAACAATAAAACAACATTGACAACACAAGTTTATTTCAAGGCACATTACAATATTACATTTAATTTATTTAAAAAATGTCACATATACCATATAAAATGTAGGTACGATATATATTTAAAAAACAAGCGTTATTTAGCTAACAAAATACTTGTACACGTCACTTAGCATACGGAATAAAATGCTTTATTTTTGTGCGTTGTCCGATTATCGTCAATTACACATTAAAAAAATCATGTTAGGAAATAGCAGCAAAAATTGCGAGTTTTTGAGGATTGATGTAATTGTTATGTTATATTAGTAGTTACATACTTTCGAAACTGATAATCAATACAATGTTTTTTCGTATGCAAAGCATGACTGCGTTTTTTAATTCAACGCTGCTGGTGATATCATATACATATTTGAAACATATATGAGGACGTGCTTATCACAGTTTTCTTTGTAAAAGAGTACTCTACGGATTAGATAACTAAGGTCCATAGATGTATAATTGGAGATCATAATAATGTATTCGTAATGGGCCAGCAAGTATTCTATCACAAAGACAAACCGGATGCATCATGCGTGTCATGCTTTATACTAAAATGTTATAAAAGAGAATAGGTACGGTCGCAGAGCCTTGCGCTACATAATGAAGATCAATAACTCGACTATACAACCAGATGCGAATAATTCGACACATTCACCCAGAGTTGTAATATGTGTTATTGTTCACTATTGTGTGTTATTGCTACTGTACCTA